TGTTTCTGTGATCTGCAATAGAACCCTTCTTATTGAGACCCAAAAGCTGGAAGAAATAGACACAATCACAGTGTCTAGCTGTGCTAGGAATTCAGGAAAACAATGGTATTTGTGCCTGAATCCAATAGCCAACGGCAGTGACTCCACCTAATCCTTCTCAGTCTTCAGGGGCTAAAATGTGGATGTCATATTTTTAGACATTTCTCTTGACAGAGTTGTGGTTTTTGACCTGTGACACTACATCTACTTGCCTATTAAAACAGAGACCACAGCTGGGCATGGTGTGATATACCTGTGATCAGAGCTACTCAGGAGGCCGATGCAGGAGGGTCCCACTTTTGATGCCATCCTGGGCAACTTAGTGAAACCCTGTCTCAAAATTTAAAAGTAGCTTAGTGCACAGGCCCTGGCTTCAATCCCCAGTACCACAAAAATGAATGAATGAATTAACCAATTTTTAAAAAAATAGACCACAAAATCTAAAGGAATGTGAATGTCACTTCCCCTTTTATTTCTTCTGTGGACACAGTAAGCCTACCGATTCTGATATCTTTATTGAACCTTTCTTCCAGAAAATATACAGTGCACTAGCTCTTCTTTTAGAAGAAAACTTATGTCATTACCTTATAGAGAAGAGGGGAAATGCCCCCAAAATAACTTGGTACTCAAAATAACTTCCAAAATCTCTGCTTGAGGTGCCTCTCCCATCCTTTTCTCCTGGAGCCCCTCAGTCAGCACCCTCCATCCTAGCCAGCGTTGTCTGCAGTCTCCAAACCGTCTTTCCGAGTGTGGCCCACAGGTCTCTGCTGGTGTCTCACGCTCATAGAACGCCTAACACTGCTTCTTTGATGTATAATCCACTCAATCTGTCAAGGCAGCTTAAACCCCATCAGCCTGAAGCCAGGTTTATTCTGTACTTAAAACCAGAATCATCTCTTCCCCCTCTGAATCCCAAAACACTTGTTTAACCCATCAGTTCTGCACACATCCCTCAACAAGTGTTTATTCATTGTCACGCCTCTGCCCTTGGCCAGGTACTTTAGACCTAAACTACCAAATTCATTAAAGTAACAACATGACTTATCTCACCCACAAATAATGCAAGCCGTGAATTTAAAAATATCTGGCAGCCAGTCTACTGCCCAAGTCCACACACATAACCATTCCACAGTGTGTCTCCTGGTTTCTAGCAGTAGTTCTGACGTACTGAGCAGGCTTCCCCTGGGCCAGGCACAGTGCTAAGGGTTTACCTGAAACACTGTTTTGCTCTCTCAAGTTTCTCTGAAAGTACAGTACATTATTAGCCCTGTTTTATGGGCAAGTAAAGCACAGCACAGGAACATTAAGCAACGCACCCAAATATTCCATTTGTTTACACAGCCCCATGACTAAGAGGTGCCTTGTGTACTTCTCTGTTCACTTTCCGGGACTCCCTGAGCTTACCAGAAATGATTCCAATCATAACGAACAACACAGAGTTCTCTGCAGGTAAAAGAGGGAGAGGTGACAGGGACGTGGAGGGGACAGGTGAGGACAGGGAGGAAACGGCCCTAAGTTTTGCATGAAAAATATGTCTTTACAGATGTTTCCTCTTTCTTCCCCAAATCTTGTGCCAAACTAACAAAATCAACATATAGTTTTAATATATTTGATAAATATTTGGAAACCTTATTTTTTGTCACCCATACTAGACAAAGAAACTCCCACAGCCAGCCTTACAGTCAGCATAGCAAAAATCCTGGTTTTGAACTTTAATTTGAGTGCATTTGTAGGGGCTACGTTGAAAATGAAGGGCAAAGAAAGGTTAATTTTTCACAATGGGTATATTTTTATAGGTGTAACTAGAAAAGAAATGAGAGCTCCAATGTGGAACAGAAAAAGAGAAGTTATTGCATTATAATTCCTTGGAAACTCTGAAATATATTATATTGCCTTCTATGTTATGGGGTTAACAAATCAAACTTTTAATCCAAGTTTGAGAGACTGAAAGGTTTCTTAAAATTCAATTAAAATGATGTACTAAAAAGGTCCCCATTGTGATATGCTCCACTGAGAGACTTCATATTTGGCAGAAAGACTTTCTTTTTATCTTAAAATAGAATTCAGGAAATGCTAGCTTAATTTTCTCTTTGCCTCAGTATTTCAAGAGTGCTTCTCAGCTCACAGGCTCTGGAAGCATTAAGTTATTAACATGGTGCTATTTCAGAGAACATGGAAGATTTTCTTTGCACGAATTCTACATGTTGAAATTTTGGTGTTTTTTTCTTTTTTCATGCTAAGGAAAAGACTGGAATGTACAAACTCTATTCCACTTCTTTATATAAGCACTTATACTGAGACTTGATATGACTTAAAAATGTCCCCCACTGTAGTGTTATTGAAGGAAATAATTACTGTTCATAATCATTGCTGAATTCCCGTATTTATAAAATGGACTTTCACAAATGAAGGATGAATATATTTTCAAGCAGAAGCCACCTGGGTCCTTACAGAGCCAAATAAGTAAAGTAAATCTATCATTTCATCAGTGAAAGCATCCTCAAAGTCCTCCGTGTTTTATGTGTTCCCACATCATCACAAACCTGTATTTATATGAGATCTTGAAATTACAGAAAAACAAATGTGTTTAGCACATTTACTTTTGCAAATTAAAGTAATAACAAAAACACACTTGCTTGGTTTTGTTTCTTTAGGTATGTTATTAGCTGCTTCAAAAATCAGTATTTAATTGTACTTAGGTTTTAAACAAGACAAGGAAGTATATATGTTCATAAATATGTGATAACTAAAGTCTCATGAACACGCAAATGTCCTACATTTTATGACTTTTCTATTCTGGCACAAGTGGCATATTTCAGAACAGTTTACCCTAGTATGTTATTTGGTCAGATGCTCATAAGAACATTTTGTTGAATGGCTATAAATGTGTTTGGGGGCACAGGGTCCTGCTTATATACTCATATTGCTGTAATTAGAAAATAAGGGGCTGGGGATCTAGCTCAGTGGCACAGCGCCTGCTTGGCAAGCGCAAGGTCCTGAGTTTGATTCCCAGTACCAAAAAAAAAAGAAAAGAAAATATACTACATCTTCAATTGTCAGGCCCTCCTTGTGACAGTACCAAGGACTGATCACCCACTGACTTGATTAGACAAGTGTACTGGGCTCAAGATTGAAGAGTTTCATTTTGATCACAGAAAGAGCTAGAGCATTACAGTATCTCCTCATAAATTTGAAGATGTTATGTAAATAATTAATAACTCCACTGTGACGGTACACAAGTAATGAGCAACTTGATTACTGCATTTAAACACCAAGTCTGGGAGCTGTTGAATATGAAATATAATTATGATTATGGTGTTTTACAAACAATCATTAAAAGATAGTGTTAATCTAATCAAATAATGGGAAAAGTCTGGCATGTCTTCATTTCGAAAACAAATATCAAGCATCTCTGCTCAATCATTCTGAACACCCTGACTTCCCAACAAGAATGACAACACACAAGGTTAAAAAAGATTGCCTTGGTTTGTAAAAACTGACAGCCACATCAATTTTTGAAGAACTGACTTTTGAACCACAATTCATGCATGCGTGATCTTTGCTTTACTATTAACTCTGGTGGTACTTTTCTGTTACCACTGTGCACTATGCTTAAAAAAACAAAAAGCAGATCACTCTTTTCTTGTTTGTGTCACCTTCGTCCTTGCACTTCGCTTCCTTTACACGGCTTAGAGATGGATTCATGTCAGTTGCTCTTTGGACACTGGAATGAGGCGTGCTGCACAGGTGCCATGCTTTTTGCTGCCTAAATGACACTGGGAAGCATGGATTCACTTTGGCAGGTCAAACTCCCTCAGCGTGTCAAGAAGTAGCCAAGCCAAATCTCAGATGGACTCTGATAATGCCACTGTCACAAAATAAACTCTGTGACCCGTGTAAACACCGGCACCCATTAGAGCTCCAGAGAAGTGATCGAGCCATTTGTAACGGTGACACTGTCTCCTGAGTGATAATACTCTGGTACATGTGATTCAGTTTGTTTGCTCAACAACTTGGTATGTGTTCTTCCTGAGAGGAAGGACTTCAGTATATGTTTACTTAGAGCTTTTAATTTATACTTCCTTTCCTTTTAATTGGTGTCTTCCGATCTAACATCAGCTGGTGAACATAGTATCTCACTCAAACTCTCTCAGCTGAGTTGGCAATAATTACCCCCACCATCACCTGACGTTGAACAGACATCTGGAGATGGCTTTTGATTTCTTCCCTGGTGCTTTCTAGCCATATGTAGAGAGTGATTTTTTTATTTGACATACAGTCATATTAATTATTATCTCAAAGCTGGAATTAGGTTAATAATTTCATGTTAAAAAAGAAGTTCCAACAGCCTTGCCTAAAACCTCACTGAATAAAAAAGCCTACACGAGAAGAAATTCCTTCATGAAACCCGAGATTGTCAGAGCACTGTAGTTCCCCAGTAAGCCTGGTATCTTTGAGACAAGAAAGAAAAGGTCACATGTCCTCTAAAATCCCACATTTGCTACACACATTTGCTACAGACATTCCTCCTTCTATTCTTTTGTTTGTGCAGTAACTAGATACAGCTACCATGAGACTGAATTAGTTTGTCCAGATGAGTGAGGAAAATAAATGCCCACAGTCAGATTTTATCTACTCTGTCTCTCTCTCCTCTCTCACTCACTGTCTCTCACTGAGGCAGTATTGAAAGTGATCCAGAAATATGGCAAGGATTGAAAATGATCCAGATTTTTTAGAATTCACCCTCTCCTTGACAACGTTAAAATTACAAGCAGCAGTCAACTTTTACAAGATACCCTTATTGTGTAACATTTATGGGCTGCCAAAAACATGCTACAACTAATCAGATAACAAAGGTGAAGAGAAACCTTCACCTGCCGTGCAGCTAGCAGTGAATACACTTCTTATTTTCATGACATTTGCTGGCAGAAAGGGGTTGGCTTAAGGCAGATCGGACTAACCTTCAATTTGTCATAGCGCTCACTCAAAGCTGCCACCTGATGATCACGGTGCCGCCCAACCAGTTTACACAAGGCACAGATTAACTGGTCATCGGTCACGCAGTACATATTCACCTTCTCATCCTCGTGCTCCAGGCACATCAGCCCCCGGATGTGCGAGTCCGGGATGGGCTCAATCAGACGGTGGCCTGTAAAAGGCTTCTTGTTCGGGTGAGTGGCTTTCAGGCACTCGTCACAGTAGGACACTTCGCAAGTGACACAGGTCTTCACAGCGTCCTGGGCAGGATCCTGGTCACAGAACTGGCAGAGGACCTTCTCGGCAGAGGACATGGTGTTGGCGTCAAAGGCCCGCTCCCTGCGGGTCTCACTGGGGGAGTTGGGCCCGCTCACTGATGCTTTCTGAAATCTGTCGATGATGTTCTGCAGGGTGACGTTGCGCTTGAGTCCCTCTAGACCTCGCTGGCTGAGCGTGATGACATGCCGGCACGTGGGGCACTGGAAGGCGCTGATGGACTCCACAGGTTCGTTGGTGGCACAGTGTGACACCAGGATGCGATGGGCACAGTTGAAGCAGAGGCTGTGTGCGCAGGGCAGCAGGAGAGGGTCCTCAAAGAGCTCCAGACAAATAGGGCAGGTCAGCTCCGACTCCAGTGTTTCCATCTTCAGGCAAAGCTCTCCGGTGTCATCAGCAAAATCCAAGGAAGCTGATCAGCTATCTGGAAACAGAATGTAAAATTTGATTAGGCAGGAGGGGTCAGCCACGGGTGGCTGTCAGCTTCAGATGCATCTCAGAACAATTCCAAACACAGGGCATGGAAGGGAAAACGCGTGTACATTTCCAATGTTTCTCTCTCTACTAACTGGGTGGAAACCCCCCAACATTTTTCTCAAGTTCCAGTCACCGCATGTAGGCTTTTTCTTTTCTTTTTGGTAATTTTGACCAGTAATTGAAACTAGAATGTACATAACTTGTATTTAATCAGAATAATCCTACTATAACACAGCCGTTTTTTACCTTGAGTTGAAAATTAAAACGTAGAAAGGTTCATTAATGAAATGTGCTCAGTCGTGTGTAACTTTGAATTTATGAACTTACATATTAATGTGTATGTGTTTTGAAGGACTTGAATTCTGTAATACCAAGCCAGGCTTTTGAATCAGAGAGGCAGTCGTCATAGGAATGGGCATTAAATGTACACAACACACACAGATTTCAGTAGAAATAATCATGTTTAAATACAGGATGTCATTTTCCAAAACATGTTCCTGAGAAAAAATGTGGACTCCCACCAAGATGATTTTGATAGAGGCAGTCATTTTGGTGTGTGTTTGTTACTTTTCTGAGTAATTCTATTGTTTAACACAGCAGTGGGGTACGGGTGGGCAGTGAAGAGTTTAGAAAAATATCTGGGAGCCTTTTTGGAGCTCCAGTGAGTTTGGTACCAATGACTAATATTTAGAAAAACGATTTAGTTCATTAGAACAAGGATTTGGATAGTTATCACATTCATTTGATAAGTTATAACAGTAAAAGCAATTACAGTCTAAAACACAGTTGCAAGTGGCTTGCAAGGGCTGTTGAGAGACCCTGTGCAACACTCCTGGCCTAAAATCTTCCACCCCAGGCTTGTCACTGTCACCAGCCCCAGGTCAGGGTGGCAGGAGGTCCCGCCTGACACTCACAGCATTGTTAGCCTGGGCATGACCTCCACCAGCTTTGCCCCCCCCCCCGCACTGACAGCCACCTTGGGGTGGCTCAGCTCTATGCTCCGCTCACCATAAAGCCCTTGCTGCTTTTGTGAACTCCCACTGCCTCCCTTCAAAATGGGAAGGCAAAGAATCCCACACAAGCCCTGGTTCATTAAGGTGAAGAGGCCTCCTGCTCATTAGCAGGCCTGGGAACCAAGCCTCTTTGAAACTTCTCCCTTTCAAGACCATTAGCAGAGGTCTGCAGAGCACTGGCGGGCATATTAGATGCAGCCCACTGCGGACTGTGGGAGAATAGTGCAGTTCGCCCAGTGGTCGTGAGATTCAAATCACTAGCCAGGGGGCGGGGGGGAGGGGTCTCAGTGGGAATTAGGGGAAGCCGTCTCCTCCAAAGCTATGTTTAGTGATTCTGACAATCAGTCGTTTGTATTCACACTTCTGCTTATTTACAAAATTCGCAATTTCTAGAACACGTTGACTCTTTCTGAAATAGCATCCCTGTGAAATACCATGTGGTACCGAGGTGAAACAAGCATTTATCTTGCTACCAACTGAATGCAAACTGATCATTAAAAGTGAAATGTATGTCCTGAGCCTGTTGAAAATTAAGAAGCTACCGGCTTTATAAAAGCCTTCAACTACTTGCTAATATTTAGTACACAGGTAGGTGTGATTTGAATGATTAAAGTTTATTCATCTTCCCACAGCCTGCAATGGGAAGCAACCCTAAAGCAGCTTCTGCAAGAGACAGCCAGCTCCACTTGGTCTCAGACCACTCTTTTTGTAGAAGACTCGGAAGAAATTGACTCTACTTATTAAATATTGCTTTGATTAAACATGGAAAAAGAATTATCTCTGGAACAAAAGTCCTCTCCCTTTCAGTCAGAAGACTATAAGGGAAAAATATAGCCTTCTTCCTCTGATTCATTCTCAAGTGAAGTAAAAATACCTTTTGACCTATCTCAATAGGAAGAGAGGCCAATTATGTCTGGACAGCTGTGATAATTATGTTATTAACTTATAATGTAATTTTTCATTAACATATAGTATTTGTCCATGTTTATGGTCCACAGTATTATAATTCAATACATGGGAAAACAGTGTGGAGGTTCTTCAAAAAATTGAAAGTAGAACTACCATGCAATCCAAAAATACCATTCCTGGGTCTAGATCCAAAGGAAATGAAATCAGTATATCAAAGAGACATCTGTACTCCCATGTTCATTGCAGCAATAACCAAGAAATAGAAACAACCTAAGTGTCCATCAAACAACAAATGGATAAAGAAAATGTAATACCTATGTACAATGGGATGTTATTCAGCCATATGGAACTGGGGGATGCAACATTAAGTGAAAGAATGAAATCAACGAGGCACAGAAAGGCAAACACAGCATAATGACTGTAATTTCAGTACAAGGGCTGGGGTCCTATTCCAGAATGTCACCATCAGAACTTTAAGAGCTGATTCCATTGTAAATCCCAGTGGAATGGTCAGCATTTTATTTTCTCATTCAGGAGTTAGTTACTGTGTGCCAAGTACTGACCTGGCTCGAGACACCACAATCTGGTGTTCTTGTCAGTACACCTCTATTATCATGGGCTGGGCCGGTATCATCTCATAGTTGGGTCATCATCAAGACATTTGTAAACTGTCTCTTGGTTTCTGCTCACCCTTGCCCTTCTCCCTGCAGTGCATGTTCCTCTCAGAAGCCTGTTAAAATGTAAAAAGCCCTGCTTGTTCTGTGCTCTGCCCCCAGGAACTTCCCACCTCAGCCAGAGAGAAATTCACCAGAAGAAAACCAGCCCGGAAAACCCCACTCAGACAGTGAGCTCATTTCCTCCCACGCTACTCCTAGCTTGTTCTGCTCTGGGCAAAAGCCTCTTTATGAGTCCTCAAACATGCCAGTCACGTCCCTTCCCTACTCGCCCCCACATGGCCTTCAGAATCCACATGACTCTGTTCCAGTGTCACCCCTGAAGATGCATAAAAACAATTTCCCTACTCCCACCCTGAACGCCCATTCACGACAGCACTCCTCCCCCGTCTCAGTTTGTTTTTCTCCATAACATTCATTGCTGATGTTCTCCATTAGTTTGTTCCTTGCCCTGTCTCTCCCTATTATGCCCAGCAGTAGGATATGGAGGCTATGAGATGAGAGATTTTCCTCTGCATTTTGAGGAATGTACCAGAAGCACCTTAGTGTTCAACACACAGTAGGACTTAAACATTCACTCATTCCTTTGAATCTCTTTTGTTCCAGCAGAAACCAAAAAGAAAGCAACATGACTTTTTCCTTTCACAAAAAGGATAGAAGTTCTTTTAGAACAGAAGTCAGCAAATTTTTTCTATAAAGAACAGGACAGTAAATATTTTTGGGTTTGCATGCTATAGGAACACTCAATTCTGGCCCTGTAATGCCAAAGCAATCACACACAGTACAAAAAAGAACGAACGTGGCTGTGCTCCAATACAATTGTATTTACGAAAACAGGTAATGGACCAGATTTGGCCCGAAGATCTTATTCTGCTGACCTTTGTATCAGAAGGTACACATACATAGCTAGCCAGAATATAAAGTGAAAATCATTCTCAGAGAGGTATGAATAAAATGCTATCTGGGCAACAATGGCGGAGCCAGACTTGGACAAGAGTGTACACGTTTCCACTGCTAGTGGGAAATAATGTGTGATGGGATTTTACCTGACATCAATGGAAATGATGTGAGTTGAGTGCTTGAGGCAATTCTTATAAGAATGATTTAACAGCAGCTGCTCAGATCTGAATCTTTTTCTTTTATCCCATAGCACTTGGCATAGTGCTATGGGCAAATGTCTACACTGTAAATGGTTAATTGTATTAAATGGTGACACAATATCTAGATGTGATGAGAGAGGCTGAGCCAATTTTCCAAATCTTTGGCCTGTATGCTGCCAGAAAGGAAGATCTTTTGATTTGATGTCTGTAAAGGATCCCATTTTTTCACTTTTATCCAGATTTTGCGATGATAAAAGTACCATTTTCTTTAAGATACTCAATAATGTCTTACACATGTCATTCTTCCCTCCAAAAAAATATCATGGCTTGTTTTCTAGATTTCTTTTAAATAACTTTCTAGAGAAACTAAAACACCATTCATTCTTTCACCAGATATTTAAGCCCTCCTATGTGTCTGGTCATGGGTCAAGCAGGGGTAATCCAAGGCACTTGCCTCTGAATTCATGGTTCAACAGAAGAGGGAAAATATGAACCAAAAAACACCATGCAATGTAACAAAAGAAGCAGACCAATGATATATGTGGAATGATCAACGCTCTATTGTAGAACAGAGGGACAGAAAAGGCTTCCTAAAGGAGGGAATATGTGAGGCGGGTGTCAAAAGATGAATACGGTTTCAACAAGTAGACAGTAGTGGATTTATGCAAAATGTTATCTTTCTTTTGTCTTTTTTAACCTTCATACTTTAATTTTCATACTGTCAAATTTTTTTAAAAAGCTGCTTAGTCTTCAAGACAATAGAAGGAAATCACACATGCGTATTGTTGTCAGGAAATTCTATAGCTCAACATTTTTATGAATGGGTTGATTGGTCTTCATTCAGAGGAGGATGTGGGTAATCATGGGAACTCTTGCAACAAACTGGGAATGGCAAAATTCACAGCTCATATCTCTGCCCACCCACAGCTCTTATGTCTACGTCAAGGCATAAAATAAGGGGGCAAGATGGAAATCGGACAGGGGGTCCATGTCTAAACTGCTAGGACGATCGGCATACTATTTCTTTTCTGCCTGCCTGTATGTCTGTGGATGGGACCCACACATGTTCTCCAGGGTTCCTCTTACATTCACTCTAATCACAGAGTTACATCCACTCTAATAGGCCAACAGGCTGTAGTGAAGCCTGGGACACATGGATGGAGGCCACCTTCCTTTAGAAACTTTCTTGCAAATTCTAAAAAGCATTTTCTTAACATGGAAAATTAAGCTGGCTGTGGTGATGTACACCTA